CTCAAGTGAGTACTTCGTCCCCTTCAGACCAGGGACACGTGAACGGTCGTTCACTTAGAGTTTGTATACTCTAGAGGAAATAAACTTCCTCTGCACAAGGTGCTGTGTGACCCCGTCACAGTTTTGGAGGAGGCCCAAACCGAACAGCACTGCGAGACCACGCCAGATAGCGCTATGTGCTCTTTGTTAGAGGTGGATGTCCCATAAGAACAATCAGAAGTTGAAGATGCACACGATGGCGTGGCGATTCAGGCAGCTAAAGCTTGGAATCAGTGGAAAACCCTCTCTGTGCAATGGTCCGAAGCCAAACCCACTGGAGGTAAGTATAATGTACTGCAACTGTATCGCGATGTTGACATTCTCGAGTGGTTCCGAGACCGTGGTAGCAAAGAATTTCCTGCGGTAGCCCTTTTAGCTAGAATTTACCTGGCCAAACCGCTCTCCACAGCGATTCAAGAGAGAATTTTTAGCCAAAGTGGCTACGTGGTGAATGAACTTCGCACTCGACTCGATGACGAACGAGCAGAAAAATTGTACCTAATGAAGGCAAATTGGCGGGATTACCAGAGACTGCAAAACGATGTCTAGATGGATCTGAAGCGAACCACAGACAAATAGCTCGCTTCATTGACTTTGTATCAATACATGTATCAGTATAATGATATGATATTGATATGATACTGATACTACAATGAGCCTGAATCAGGCGGGATCAGGATCAAATGATAACACTCCAATGCAAAATTTGCACTTTATCAGGATCAGAGATACCATCAAAAACGTCGATGATATGAACCCCTGGACTGGATCGGGTCGCTTCCCATCAATCAGCTTTTGGTTCGCAAAAGCCAACTGTCGCTTCACCACACCAACATACACACTTTTATAACTATAAAACTGCACAAGATTGTCTAACTCGATTCATGTTGTTGATTCTGCAGAGGTGCTGGTGAAGAAATGCATGACAGCAATCAAAAACCAGATAATTCGTGCAGAAGCTGACAAGACACCTGTCACCAACGCAGACATTGCTGTAGCGATCTTAAACGTGGGTACATTTCGCGCTACAGATATTTAGATTATGAGCGATTGCCACGACATCTCAAAACTTGTTGCCAAGGCAAGATCCTTGATTTCATGGATCAAGAGTGTTGAACCAGGAGGAAGAACGTGCTCAAATTTGAACGATATGGCGACTATGGACATGAGAAGCTCTATCAATTCAGGCGGGCAAAGTGTCGGATTTGCAGAAATCGCTCGATTTGGTGACCAAGGTTGGTTGAACGACGAATGTTTGTTGCTGCAGCAACTTGAACTTGAATCGCTGCAGAGGCGTCATGGAGTCCACCACCGACGGTATACGTTGCCAACCCCACGTTTGCTACGTTTAAGGATGAAGAACAACGAAACAGGCTCGTTGATACAAATGACTTCATTTTTAGCAAATGTGACGAGAGCACAGTGATACTATGCCCAATCCACATTATTGTCGACGTCGCCCACTGGTGTGGAGCGGTATTTGACATGAAGAGGAGGTTGGTGTGGATATATGACCCCTTTCACAAAGAAGACTACGAAGCCGAAGTAACCACGTTGATCGAGAACGTGTACCCCCCCCCCCCCTCTGGTAAATCCTGACTATCAATTGAAAATTCAACTATATCGGGCGTGGCGCCAACGCGATGGTTTTAACTGTGGCGTATATGTTGCGCATTGGTTTGATCATTTACTAAATGACCCTCTGATTGTGATTCCCCTATCTGGACCTAATGAAGTCTTCGCCTGCGTATATATATTTATACAAGAAAATAGAAAAAGAGCTTACTTCGGTAAGACTAATCTTGCTGACCTTAATAAGTTTACTCCTCCAATTTTACCTGAGCACTCTGACTTTGTGTTTACTTAATGAGAAAATACGAAATGAGGACTTAAGCCGACCGCGTGCTCTTTACAAGGTCAGGCGTAAAATGTTGGGCGTTAATAGGTCCCTCGCTACAATCATCTCTCGGCGCGTGTTTAATTCTTTCGTTTGAAGTCCGAAGATTTCGTGTGGTGTAGTTGTCTTATTGTTGTCGCTAAACGAATCCAGGTTAGCATTCCATGTTGAAAGCAGAATTTTGGTCGGTTTCTTATCGCACGAATTCAGTGGGCAACCAGAGCGACCTAACAAGCAATGCTGCCGCTTCTGCCATTCGGTTACTGACGGCGGGGCACTGGAGCCAGCCGAGTGCCAGCGAACTGATTCCAGTCCCCGGGTTTGACCAGCGGAAGCCAGATTTTATGTCTGCATCTTGATGACGCTCCGACGCTAATGGCACTAGGTGATCAGTGTCGCGAACAAGCTAAACGAGCGTCGCGAGGTCTCAACCTGGCATGAATGCAGGCTATTCGAACGAAAAAAAATCTTTCGTCTACAACTTCACTTTGCTGCTCGCGTAGTCTGCGGTGGTAGTAATGCGTCGTGGAACATTAAAAATGTCGGACTGTTGCCAAGAAATCACTTCAAAATGAGGAATCGGCTTGCCCGGCTAGCCGTCTGACTATCTGTGCCGGCTGGAGACAAAACAACTTCCACGGAAGAAAAAAAAGCTGAGGAGAGGATAACTCACCGTCGTATCGATTGGTCATTTACTGTTTTTGGTGAATCGAAACGAGAAAAAAACGTTAGAAATGTTGTTTAATAATCTTTTTACCTGGTCGTGTTTATCATGCGCGGGGGCGGTCCATGTTCGTAGATCACGGTGCCGGCACCTTGGAAGCCCAGCACCTCGTTGACGACACCAGAACTGGCCAGAACTGGGCTTCACTACTGCAATCAACACGATGCCGGCGCCCAGACCGGCCTTTATAGATCTCTTTTAGTGTTACGTAACTATTGTTTCAACTTCAATGTAAATCTTCTTTTGGTTTTAACATTTTTTAGCCTGAAAATTCCTGAGAGAAAATGTTTTTTCGCGTTGGTTTTTATGCTACTTGAAACGTATCAATCCACAGAGCTGCACTTTATCCAGCCTAGCACGTGTAGCTTGGCTTTACGGTTCTGGGGATTCAGACAGTCTAAAAACCTCACCGAAAGCAAGCTGGACGTGTTGCGTTAACCGAAGCTTATTGCAGTCTGCCGATGACCGCGAGGCGGTTTGGTGCTTTTACTCTGCAGCTAGACTTGCTTAGTTTCTTGTTTGTCTGTCTTGAACATGATATCTTTTTCACGTTCAATGTTGATAAACTATCGACCAAAGTATGGCTCCAGCTGCTAGTCAATTTTTTTTTAGCTTTTAAACTGCGGAGAGAAGTGCCCTCCGCCCTTCAGCACGAACTCCAAAGAAGAACAGGGCTGGCGACGGGCTCAGGTAAACTTTTCAAACGACGACAGCGAGCGCCCCGTGGAAAATATCCGTCCCTCAAACTACGACAAAAAGCAAGAGCGGAGGCCCATCCGAACCAATACAGTAACAACATCGTGCGGTCGCTAAGATTTTTAGCTAAGTTACCCACCAGTCTGAGACGGTCTCAACGTAGCGGAAAACTTCACACTCTGCAGAAGTTCATTTCACAATTCACCTTCCAGGTGTCTAACCAAGCTATACCACTTAACTCAAGGTCCAACCAACACTCTCACCAACAAGACCACGAAAACTATGACGCGCTTTGGATTCGCGTCCTTCCTGCTGGCTACCACCATGCTGACGCTTGTTGTGTCGGGAGCCCAGACCGGATTAATTGCCAATGTCGTGGGAACTGTGGGGACGGTGGTAACGAACACACTGAACGCAACCAGTACGCTGGTGGAAACCGTAGCCAACCTCCCGTACGACTCACACCGGATCATCATTGTCATGGATAAGGATACCAAGCCGGTCCTCGATGCCGTCGCCAGCACCAATACCGCAATTTGGACGGAGGCTGAGCGAATTCAAAACATCCAAAACATCGTCGATGCGCTCAAGCTGCACGCGCAGCAATGTCAGGGTCCCGTGACGGATCTACTCCAGTCGGCTGGAATTCAATACACGAGCAATTGGATCACCAACACGATCGTAGCGGTGGACTGCTCGGTTGGTCTCATCGAGCAAATTCTCGCTTTGGTATCGGTGAAGAAGATTGTCTATGACACCATCATTACTCTGGAACCTCCAGAGCCCACAGCCGACTCGACGAGCAACACTGTCACTGCTGGATGGGGTGCCACTAAAATCAAGGCGACGAATGTCTGGGCGACAAGCAATACCGGTCAGGGCGTGGTTGTCGGCACCATCGATACCGGCGTGCGCGGAACTCACGAGACTCTCGCTAGCAACTGGATCGGGCCGTACGGATGGTATGATCCGGCTCAAAAGACGGCGACCCCGTACGATCCCAATGGCCACGGAACGCACACGGTTGCCACGATCGTCGGAGGAAAGGGAGTGGGGATCGCTCCTGGCGCTAAGTGGATGACCTGCAAGGCCTGTGAGAACTCTTGCTATATGTCTTATTTAACCGCTTGTGGGCAGTTCATGCTGTGTCCGACGGACACAAACGGCAACAACTGCAACGCTGCTAAGGCCCCGCACATTGTGAGCAACAGTTGGGGAGCGGGCCAAGGTATGACCTACTACCAGTCGATTCTTGATGCTTGGTACGCCGCTCGTATCTTCCCCGTCTTCTCGGCTGGCAATTCGGGTGCCAATGGATGCAGTTCAGTTGTGACTCCGGGTGATTCAGCCAAGGCCTTCTCTGTTGGAGCTACCGATACTAGCGACGCACTGGGTTCATTCAGCAGTATTGGTCCTGCCGTCAATGGACTTATCAAGCCCGACTTCATTGCGCCTGGAGTGAGCGTCCGTTCGGCTTGGAAAGGCAACAACTCGGACTATTTGTCACTCTCGGGGACGAGTATGGCGGCACCTCATCTTGCCGGAACAATCGCGTTGGCTTTGAGTGCACGTCCTGGTCTCTGCTTCGAAAACATGAAGGAGATTCTGTCGAATTCGGCGGACCGTGCGCTGCCGAGGGCTGCCCAGACGTGCGGCACAATGTCGGACACGGTCTTCCCAAACAACGAGTACGGTTACGGCCGCATCAACGCTCAGAACGTCGTCAACGCAGCGCTTACGTACTAGCAATACCAAGAGTGTGAGTGGCAAAGCTGGACTTCTTCTGTTTGGGTTCCCGTAGCATTATCGATGTGATGAATACCTTTCATTTCTACATGTACAATGTTGATACCTGTTCACTCTTGCTTTGTCGCCGTCACACTCTGGTATGAACGTACAGACAGCTTTGCGAGAACTGGAATTTTATTGCCCGTAGAGCCAACGACCAGCGAAGATGCTTAACTTCTTCATGACGACCACAAAAAATACGAAACTAATGTCACTAAAGTAAAGTCATATTGATGTTTTATTTGTAAGGGTATAGTGGTGAGATTGCATCGAAAATACAGTAGCCACGTTAACGAAGAGCACCCAGATAGAAGAACAAACAAACGATATGAAAAAAAAAAACACTTGCGGGTCTTGTGCGCGCTCGTCCACACTCGTCAATACAGCATTTTGAAATCGGAAGGAACCCTGTACACAATTATCAGCTTATTTTCTTAAAACAAATAACAACTAAGTTTTATCCGAAAAGTGACCGCCAAGTTGGCGGTCACTTTGGCGGCCAACTGCTCGTCGAGGCACCCATAAATTTCTTTTAAGATCATAACTAACAACGGCAAAAAATATACACGCACAAAACTTTCAACGAATACAAATCTGCGTTTGATAATTGTGGATCTGCCTCATCCTTCTGTAGTAAAACAACAACTGCATGCATTCTTACTTGGTGACGGCGACACTGTGGCGGGAGTTCACGGAGAGTTTCTCGTCCATAAGGTTTTGGACCTCATTGCCGAGATGGTCGAGCTCAGGAGACGACGACATACCCATGTTCATCTTCTTCATAATGATCACGAAGAAGACGAAGTTGATAACACTGACGGCACCCACCGTGAAAAACATGTTCTCGAGGTGGTCCTCGTTCAGGTTGTCGGACGGGAGCGACTTGGAGAACATGATAGTGAAGACTGAAGTCAGGATAGAGCCCATGGAGCTCATGAACAGGATGACGGCCTGAGCCATCGACTTCAACGACAGCGGCACGCTCGAGTACACGAGATCGTAGGCGGTAACGTTGATCAGACACTCGGCCAGACCGATGAAGACGTAGTTGGGAATAGCAGCGGCCCACGAAATGTCGTTCATGGGCTCCGAGCTTCCACCATCAAGAATTGGGTCTCCATTCGCGTCTTCGAGGGCGCCGGCGTTACGACGGATCACCTCGAAAATACCAGCCCAGAAGATACCGATGATGGCGATGATGAGGCCAATAGCAGACTTGCCGAACTGAGAAGGAGACTTGCCAACCCTCTTGGTGTACAGCGGGTACACGATCGAGTCTAGAATGGGAATGCAGATGACAATGACAATCGGATCAAACACTCCGAGCATGGCACCAGGGATCTGTTTGCTGTCCGGGTCGCTCCTGTCGAGACGCAGGTCGCACTGCTGTGTGATGGACTGGAAGTTGGCATCCGTCTGGTCGTACGCGCAGTTCCAGATGATCGTGAAGGCGGCGTACGGGAGCACCCGCACCAGTTTCTTGTACCCCTCGACACGCTCGTCGTCGAAAGTGCCGCCCATGCTGCTCTTAGACACATCCAGGAAGGATTGGTCCTGACCGGCGTACACCCAGCCTACAATACCGGCAAGAACCAGCACGGCAGCTATGTACGACATGATGTTGCCAACGTCCCCCTTGTCGACGGTGAAAGCCGAAATGACGTTGACAACCAACGCAGCCAGGAAGCAGAAAGTGGCCGAAACGAGGATGAAGCCATTGCGGGTCTGGTGAGCGTTGGCCCAGCCAAGTTGGCACATCATCGAGATGGAACGATCATTGGGAGGTTGGAACACGTAGCGAGGGTAGCCGATGCACAGCACGACGACAGCAAGTGCCATGACACAGGCACAAATCATGTATGTCGCGAAGTATCCGTATTCAGCGGGAATCTGAGCCGAACCATCAACGCACAGAACAGACAGATAGCCGTACGACACACCAGATCCCACGTTGATACAGAAGTAAAAGTACGAGAAGTACGTCTCCTTCTGTTGTACCTCGCTCGGGTCGTGCGGGTCGAATTGGTCAGCACCGAGCGTGATCACGTTCGACTTGATAGCACCAGTACCGATGCCGATGCCGACAAACAAACCGATGATGAAGATCGGGTTCACAACAGCAGAATTCGTCATGACCGTCGGGTAGGCTGCAATAGCCACGAGGAAGTCACCGATGCAGTACCAGATACCGAATGTCAGGATCGTACGGAAGCGACCCCATCGTTCATCGGCCAGGTAAGCACCGAACAGCGGAGTCAGGTAGCAAATGGACGTCCAGGTACTCTTCAAGGCACTGGCAGACACGAGACTCCATCCGATTTTCTGCATGAAGTTCTTGAGACCTTGGTTGATACCATAGTAACTGAGACGCTCGGCTAGCTCCATCATGAGGATGAAGGAACAGACTTGAAACAGGACGCTCTTGTATTTGCGTGGTCGAGCCTCCCACATGGTCTGCACGGGCTCGTAGGGCACTGCTGGTGACCCCATGGGCGACTTGAGGGGAGCACTGGTGACTCCCATGATGGTCTCGAGGTTCTTGTCGATGCGAGCGCTGGAGGTCCAATTGAGAAATGAACGAGTTTTCGACTGGCAGTGCACGGGCTCAGGACTGGATGCAAGAGACACGACAACCAAGACTTGCAAAAACTAGTCGTGACCTATTACGAAACAGGGTTCTTTGTTGACTGGATGCACTGACAGTGTGCCACAGGGAGCCACAAACATATTCCTACTGAAGTACACTGCATAACTTCACATTGTACTGTAACCCTGAAGGCGTAATCGCTATCAGTGCATTAATTTGGTTGTGCGAATGGTATGCCTTTCGCAAAAGTTTTTATTAACAGCTATTGCGCCGTGAGCAGACTACAACCACTTACAATGCGCCAGTACATCAGTAGCAAGGATCACTAAAGAGACGATTTCGTCTACAGATTCGTCTACTGTTGAGTGTATCAGGAGGATGGGTAACTCAATTCATTTGCTGCACCTCGACACTATCCACGACCTGACTGGAGGTAATTGAGCACTCGAGAACCAGAGCAAGAGTGAGCATCTAACGAGCATATGCATTCATGTATCAAGGGAAAAGCGGCGCTAAAACTCGTCGTCGATGTCTATTTCTTGATGTAGAACTGCTTGAGCATCTGTACAAAGCCACATCAGAATAATCTCCCACATAACTGACCAACAAGTCCACGTACCTCCTCTTCGAGCGGGTGCACCTCTCCCGTAATGGCCAGACAGTGCAGCGGAGCGCCAAAGTCGGCGGTCAGCAGCTCCTCCATGGTGCCGGCGATGATGGTCTGGTCCTTCTGGCCGAGACGTGCCATGCCTACGCAGATCGTGTCTTTACTGTAAGCTCCTTCCTGACGCTTCTCCTCGATTTCAATAAGCTGTTCAATAGCCTGATTCACCGTCATGAAGCGCGGCGGCAGGTAGACCGTGCGGCCGCGGCACATGGCCTCAAAGTCGGGCTCCTTCACCTTAATGTCCAGCAGACACAGCGTGTGCATGCCGCCGCGACGATTGTACTGGATCTTCTCATAGAAGCTATCGGGACGCCACTCGTCCCGGAAGAAGGGGATAGACACGGTCTGCCCGAACGAGTAGAGCTGCAGGCCACAGGAGCCCGCAGCGCCCATGACGGACGCGTTGTGGATCACTTCGACCTTGATATCCAGCTCCTTGGCGCGCAGAATCAGATCTGAGTGGGTCGTAGCGCAGAGCGGGTCGCCCACGACCAAGAAGGCCACGTCATCGTCCTTGGCATCGGCGAAAATCTGGTCAGCGCCGGTCTCGACGCAGTCGCGGTCGGCTAGAATCACCTCACGGCCATAGAACTCGCCCAATTTCTCCAGCTCTACGCCCAACACCGACGTGTAGTTCTCTAGGAAGACCTTCTTGGACTTCTTGATGGCGTTCAGACCACGCAGCGTCACGTCCTGCTCGTCGCCGAGGCCTAGACCAACCACATATAGCACCATAATGCACGGTTGCCAATCAAAAATGAAATGATGTGACACACACCAAGGTTACAAATAGTGTAACCCCTGTCAACATTGTTGATAGGAATGCTACAATAGTACTCGTCAACCTGCACAACTTAAATGGGAATGGAAAAAAATATTTCGAGAGATCTGATTGGCCGGGATGGCATTCAGACGAAAAAAACCCATTAAACATTTAATGGGTTTTTTTCGTCTGAATGCCATCCAACATTTTCATCGAAAGTTCTAACAAAAAAGGTGGCGCTTTTCGTCTCCATTCTGGTCTGCGCTGAGCCGGTGGCGAAAATGGAGACGAAAAGCGACCTCCGCATTTGGTGATCCTTCTTTTCTCGTTCAACTTGACATGCATGTCAAATCCGAAAAGAGCGGGACCACCAAAGGTTCCAATCAAAGTTCCGACACGCTGCTTGTCATCGCTTCAAGATTGGACGCTGCCTTCCTGCTCATCGAGACTCGCGAGGGCTTCACAGCGCTGTGCTTGCTAATGCATACCGCCCTCTCTACTTTAGTAGGAAACTGCAGAGCGCAAGGATTGGGGGCACCACATTCGAACCCCAACTCGGACCCAAGCTTGTCTTTGAAGCGCAGCGATCCCACCAAAATTCGGGCTGAGTATCCATAACGCGAAATCGCAGCAATTACGGTTAAGGATGTCGTGACCACCCGCGCTGATTAACGCACGTTTGTTGAAACCCTTTGACAAGACGCGAAGTTGGACGTGGAGTGGCTGGGTTTTCGCTAATGATCACTCGACGTACAGATAGCAATGCCATCGATAAAAATCTCTGCAGCTACTGTTAGTACTAGAGACAACCACGAAACCACATGCAAGTTAATGCCTCCCTTCAGTAGGTGCGCCTTCGAAGCATAGTAGCGCGCAAGCCAAATCTTAGTATTGTACACACTCATCGACAGCATAATTCAGTAATGTCGTTTTTCAGTCAAGAGCATCTCCTACAAGGAGATGTGCCTGTGCCTACAAGTCCAGTCGTTTGCAGGTCTCGGCACCCCATCACCAAATGCACGGCGCCTAGCTCACGCTGATATCGACGTTCCTTCCCTGTGTGGATTGGCAGCAGTGCACGCGCATTCAGGCCATTTCCAATTTCACCACTAGCGCGTAACTTGACCAGCTTTGAGACCTTCACAATGGGAATCACATCCGCTCCCATCAAATCACCCATGGGCTCGCCCGCGGTGCCCTATGAGACCACACAAACCGTGTGGGAGGCTCGACCACGCAAGTACAAGAGCATCTTGTTGGAGGTATGCCTCTTCATCCTCATGACGGAGCTAGCCGAGCGTCTCAGTTACTATGGTATCAACCAAGGTCTCAAGAACTTCATGCAGAAAATCGGATGGAGTCTCGTGTCTGCCAGTGCCTTGAAGAGTACCTGGACGTCCATTTGCTACCTGACTCCGTTGTTCGGTGCTTACCTGGCCGATGAACGATGGGGCCGCTTCCGTACGATCCTGACATTCGGTATCTGGTACTGCATCGGTGACTTCCTCGTGGCTATTGCAGCCTACCCGACGGTCATGACGAATTCTGCTGTTGTGAACCCGATCTTCATCATCGGTTTGTTTGTCGG